AAATTTAACAGCTGTTGGTATTATGGGGTGCACAATACCCTCACCATAGAAACGCCACTCTGTACAATGTTACGTCTTTGCAGAGCTGTGTTTTCATTAGCTAGCTTTAGCTTTCAACAAGTCTCTCTCAAACTAAACTTAACTTATTACAACACGTCTTTTTCAGCGGCGTCGAAAAATTTTTGCTAACTGCTCCATGTCACAAGTTGAAAAAAGTGTAGTTACTATATCCACTGAAAACCGGTCAAGTGACCCTATATTGTACTATAAAGCGACTTTAAAGAAAATCAGGAAAGTTGTATTACAGCATAACAAACAAACTGAGCATGGACACCTCATCACGGACAACTCATGGGCCCGTACTAAGTGTCTGCAGTCTGAGAGAGTTGTCCACCTGAAGAACGGCAGACACTAACTGCAAGCGTTCAGGGAGTTGTCCATCGTTTCGTAGCCTCCCACGCAGACGTTCTTTTGGGTCGTCACGCACCCCTAAGTACGTCTGCGTGGGAGGTTAGTTGTGTCGAGGCTTCCTTAAGAGAGAGATGAATGTAACTTTTTCTGTGAAGATAACGAACACATCTCTCTATATGTGCACACATATTACCATGCTTTACTAGTGAATCATGTAGAATAATTTTGTGAGCTCACTGGACTGGACAAATGGGTTTATTGATAAATCACTGTCACTTATTTACAAACCGAGACTCAAGTGCTTCTCGAACGGGCATCGTCGTCGTCGGGCTAACTTTTCAGTTCTCTGAGTGAAAACAACTGTGTACTCCATTTTCTGAATTCTGAAACACTCATTATTTTTCATATTTCAATCAATTCTAACTGACTAGATATTAATTTCTAAAATTGCCTTAACGTGCGTGATCTCTCCCTTCTAGGACTAGAATTTTAATTAACAACCGCCGTAAATGGAAAGGGATCAATCAATTAACGAATCAACGTAATCGCAAGAGTAAGTTTTCTCAGATTATCACCATAAGAAGGAATTGCATGCAGCTAAAGTATTATGGATAATCTGAAACAGCTCCCAAAAAATGAGCCAAAATAAACTGCTCGTTATGATTTGTTATGTTAACGGATTCTTGAGATAACAGCGCAACAGGAATGCTAACAGCAGAAATGTAAGACTTTACTCAGTTGAAAGTGAAATTAAAAGCCGCTGACTTCCTTCCCCTTGCAAGACAAGTTGACCTGTGAATCACTTTGTTAAACAATCACTTAACACTTATGCCAGTAGAAAATCCCATTTGTCCAATTATGCCAAGGTCAATATTCTAGTCCCAAAGAAGGCAATAAAGAGGTTAACAAAACCATCTAAGAATTTAATTTAATTTCTTTACTTATGCTTTGCACTTAATAAATCTCTTTTGTAAAATAAGTTATATGAAATCAATTTTTGAAAGGAATGGTTGAAAGAAACCTTTGAAAAGTGTATGTATTGCAAAGAAATGCCGCAAATGTACATAAAGCTTTTTCAAAATTATTGGGATTTTCATACTGGGCACAGATCGGAAAGGGCAGGCAAGTTTCCCTCGCCCCGAAATCAAGGCTAAAGCCACGCAAAGGCCAAAACGCTCCATTTTCCCATCCTTGATTTGGGTTGTGTGGGGGTTCTTAATGTCCCGTTGTCCAAGGATTTTATAAACTTGCTAGATAAAGACTAAGGAACATATCTCCAATCCAAATCCAGTAAATCAGTCAATTTAAATGTGGCAAGGCTCTTGTGCCAAGCTGCTAGTTCGTCCGGTCGCCGAGCCTCGTTTCTACACTCCAACTAGTGTACCAAACGGCTCTTTCACCTGCCAGCTGACTTGGAGAACGCATAAGATGTCTTTTTAAGCTAAGGTTTAATATGGAGAAACGAGTAACGGCAAAACATAGGTGAGTTCTTAAAAATTGAGAAAGGCTTATTTTCTCTTTTCTTTTACTCTGCACGCGGATTCTTTAACGAATTCTGCTCTGATGATCCAAGGTCGCTAGCCCTAATTAAGGAGCCGGGAGTCAGGGCGAGCGATAATAATTTTTTTTGAATAACTCAATTAACTTAACGTTATATCGTCATGGCAGATTGACGTCATGGTTTGCCTTCGCTGATTCCGTTCGCTTCCTGTCCAGTCAACATTAATAAATCAATCAATAAAAAAGTGACCTTTTAGGGTACCAAAATTATTGGTAAGCCAGTAGTTTTCATTGTGGTCCACGATGTTAAGATTCCCAACTGGCCAGAGTCAGCAGTTAAAGGACTCGGGACGAACAGAGAACAACTCCTGCTGGCGCAGCCTCGTACCCAGGCCAGTTGGCGCTATTTAAGTGACCAGAGGAAGCTTAGAACCGAGTGCGATAGCGGCGAATTTGATAGGTGACGTCACATCCGAAATGGCCGAGGACAACGGGAACTAGGCTGCAGGGAGGGCTAGGGGATTGATCTCGGGACCTCAGATTACAATATTCCAGCGCTACATACCGCTCATTCACGCTGCCTCTTGCTGGCCGATACTAACAATGCAATACAACTAGCTGTAAGTACTTCACGTATTCGGGCCTACGAACTCCTAAGAAGTTTCCTTGTGTTCGGGGACAATCAGATGTCCAAAGAATACCAAATTGAATCTCTTTAGAAGGTTAAGAAGAGCGTTTAAGAAGGCCCTACCAATCATTGAAATGGTTGTTTTCCTGCGGATTTCATTATGTCAGTAAATTGAGCCTCTTTTCAAGTTTCGACAACCCCGCTGAACACTTGTAAAATGCGTTATTGACTAAGGTTTTTTGGGTCAAGATGTCTTGATTTTGTCCAAGTTGCTTTCTGCATTTATAACCTGGAGGTCTTTAACATACTGAAAAAAAGACGAGGCTAATCAAGCCATCTTGATCGAACAAACTTGGTCAATAAAGGATTCAAGATTGTATGGCCAAAAAGGGAACTTTTTCTTAAATGAAAGAAGATCATCGCAATTATAGACGAAACTTTTGCAGTTGCGAAAAGAAAACCTGAAATAATTCAGGCTTGTAAGAGGTCCAAAGAAAAGGACACTAGAACCAAGTGTACGTTTTAGAGAGGTGTCCGGTGAAGGTGTTCTTTGGAGAAAACTGACTAGCTGTTCTGCCATTTAATCTTTATTTCCCCCAACCTGAGATGACCACCCTGAAAATCAATGGCTACTCATTTTGACGGAAAATGAGCAGCCTTCCGGTTTGGGTGTGAGATCAAACCTATTTTCGAAACACTTCAGAAACGGATGATGCGATCGTTTGCTTGCAGTAGCTGGAGTAACTAAGCATCAGTTATCTTCATTCTCAATTTGTACAACCTTTTCTCACTTTCTTATCCATGGCTTTTTGCCGACTGTTGTTCAGAATTATTCTTTCTTCCTTCGTAAAGTTGGTTTATTAAGGTCTATTAAAACTCTGAAGATGACCACACCTACCTCAATGACGAACGGTCAATTCTAGGAACCAGGGACAACCATTACTAAAAAACAAAAATAATTTCTAGGAAGCCCAACCTAATTTGCGTTGGACATTCCGGAAGATATCCTCTTGTTAGTAGCTGTTGAAGGTGATTGAGGTCAGGCTAATCTACTGATTAGACCAGTTGCTCATTCCGTCACGACTAAGGAAACATTCTCGAGGTTTAAACTTGTTTATTTTGGGTATGAAACTGTTTTCTCTGTCTGCACGAGCTGCTACTGTAATTCTGCTTATGACTTTGCGTGGGAAAAAATGTTAAGTGTATTCAACAGGAATTTCAGTAGTTTCCAGTTGTTCTGTTTGTGGTCAGGCAAGAACTAGATGAAATTTGTTGCGAATGGGTGGCATGGAAATCGCCACAGTGCTTAAACTCATAGGATTGCGGTCGATGACGGTTTGGAATAGCAATGAGGCCTCATGCAGGGAATTGCAGATTGAATAACGTATCGTCCTTTTCATTAAGGTCATAAAGAACTAACCTTTCTCAATAGCCTACATTTAAAATCTAGTTCGCAGCGAGGCTCCTCGGGTCCAGAAGTTAGGAGCACTAAGATTGCGTGCGATATGAAAAAAAATAATTAGCCGTAATACCCTCATACAAAACTATTATTGTTTATCATAGGTCAGTGGCCGTTATCAACGTGTTTATGATGTGTGAGGCAAAATCAAAGGTTTGCCGACTTCCTGTGAAGTGTAGTTTACCAATGACAGACGCTATTTCCTCTAAATTGCTCAATAGCGAGCTTTCCGCTTCTCGGGCGTCTCTACGTCAGTTTTCTTATTCGATGTAAGGAAGTTGTAGGAGCTTAGCTTAAGCGGGCGAGGCATCTATCTGCGGATTTATCTGTGTTCACTATTTTTTTAGCGTGCGCGTGCAGAAGGGGTGATTTTAAAGATAACCTCTGTTCTCAAAACAACTGCTATTTCCATCGGATTGCTTCCCCTATTGACAGACTGCAGACATTTATCAAGCACTTCCTCGCGGACAAGGTAAAAGAAAAACGCTACTCGAAGAGAAAATATTTGATTTTCAATGGCATTTGATAAGTTTAATAGGTTGTACAGGGCGGTGCAATTAAAATTGCGGATCGCGTGCACTTTGATTTACTCTTGTTGTTTTAGTTTCTTTTTCATATGAATTTTGTTTTTTCTAACGAAAAGTGGCACTTGGTAAACATGTAATGTAAACTAGATGTCTATAAAAAAGCTTTTTCTGGTCACCTTATAACTAAGCTGACAGATACGAACTCACAGTAGTTAAGCTGAGGCCCGTCTGTCACAGAGCCCTGAACCTTATACATTTCCTGGTAGGCCTTTACAGCTACACTGTAGCCATTATTAAATTTACGCTGTCAGGTATATAGGATAATCTGGAAGAAATTTTCTCTGTTTGTCTTCAATTGATAATTTGAATCACAGCGGGTCACAGAAATTTGAGAAGTGTCAGTTTTGCGCCTACACTTTTAGTGCAGTTGCGTACTGGACGTCTTATGACTCACTTTGATTATTTTATCCACGCAGGGCATTAACAGAGTAACTAACAGAGTCTTTAAGCGTATTTCAACAAGAAGGATTCAACAATCAAGACGTTAAGACAGTGAATAACGTTTGAAGTGTGGTACGTGAGTCATGTATCAGCGAGTGAAGTTTGTGGGTGCCCTTTTGTGTGCAGTCGGTGCGTTAATGCTTGTTTTGCAACCCTGCAAAGCAAAACCAAAACGAGTTCGCCTCACCATTCTCAAGACTTTGCTTATTGTTGATTCGCAAGGAATGGACGTGATCGAAAACGCGGTTGAATTGACGAAAAAGGCCGAGACAAAGGCTTCCAAGCGTGTTTTCATGGAAGACAACCACTTCATCAAACGAGTCGCAATGGTTGAAACCTCACTGAACAGGTCGTCAAAGGTTGGAGGCCTCTGGAATGTTGACCACTGCGCGTTCAAAACGTCACAGAGCAAACGCAAAGAGAACAAACGGCTTGCAACTTTGCTAAAAACAGTGCGGCGTACGTTTGGAGTGGCATGGGCCAAAGTAAGATATAGTGATTTAAGGAGACCTTTGTATTCGGTTCTCGCCGCACGGATCATTTTGGAGATGACTGAACGTTCCGTTCCCCGTGGTTTAAGAAACCAGGCGAAGTTCTGGCTGGAAACATACCACGCTTGCGCGCAAAAATCTACGCAACAACAAGAAGAAATGAAGAGCAAATTCATCAGAGGTACCTTTCTATTTATTATATTTAATTGGCTTTATTGCAGGTTCATGACAGTAAGCCAAGATAAACTATAATGCGGAGCGACCTGATGCTGGCTACAGGTCAGTACGGTAAGTGTGAGGTTTGTGAGAAACAACGAAGGTTCAGCCAGCACTGTGGAATGAAGACCTGGGTTGTTGACCGGAAACGCAGTGGTGGGTTCCGGTTTGCCCGACTTTGTTGCTATTCACCAAAACTTAGAATAACTGACTTTAACAAATCCTCCACAAGAGGAAAGGTCGAAGGCGATCATGTAAACTATATTTAAGCAATTTGTAGTGATTTTAAATGATTATTTTCTTGTAGTTTGCAGTCATTTCGCCGTCGTGCATGTGGACTCGTGCTTGTGGACTGTGTCAGATTTGCCCTGTTTATTATTTACCCAGATTTGGTTTATGACATGACTTTTTTGGCATTAAAACCAAATAAAAAAGAAAGGCAACTCGGATGTGAAAACAGAAACTTCTTTGACAGTCATTTAGATTTCTTTTTACTTTCGCAAGGCGGGTTTTCTAGAAAAGACAGTAAAGCTTGTTTTTGGGTAAAGTATTTGCTGTCATTTGACGCGCGCACGGGTGGTTTTGTGTCGGAGTTTGATCAGTTCACCAACAGCGATAATTCATTGCGCTTGAACGATTGCAAGGCGGTCGAACTTTTCAAAAAAGAGATGATGTTGGAAAGCCTGGCTCGACTGCCTTTCCGTGGGTTATCTTTTTAAAACATGGAAGCTCCTCATAAAAAATACCGGCAGAACTTCCTTGGAGCAATTTACCGCGCTGTTCCCGCGATCACACATCTCTGCAAAAAACTTCGTAGCGGCTAATCGGAGAGATATGGTTCTCACATTTCGCGGGCAAAATACCGTCATTAACGTTTCAATTATTTTCAGCTGATAGCTAAATGAAATCATCAGTAACGTTTCTTCGTGAAGGATAACTTGTCGTTATTTTCACGTCTGCTTAAGTGTTAGCAAAAGTGTAAAAAGCGGCGTTCTTTTGGAAGAGCACTTCGTGGTATAAGTAAAAGGACTGGAAAATGCGGTTTTCCTTTTAACCATTACAAACGTCACCGCTGATTAAACCTGTAGCAAGCTGTTTCTAATTTTCTCCCTAAAGCAAGTCTATTTAAGTTCCGTCTTTTTGCTAAAGAAAGAAATTTCCACTGAAAGAACTTAATGATCAATCTTTGCTTGGTTTATTCGCTGAAGAGGAAACCGTACTTGGTCGTGATAAACCTTTCTGAGGTCAAGAAGCAACTTTAAAGTTAAATGGATTGATTTAATTAGGCGATAAGACTTATAGAGTCAAGCGAGAAGTGTGTTGGCAGTTATTTTAGAAGTCTGCGACATTCAGTCAAGCGCGTTGTATAACGTTTGTATACCTGTTTTCTAAATGAAAACCATTTAAGTGCAAATAAGTCATAAGATGAAGAAAACAAAAGCCACACACAAAGTTTATTGAAATTCAATTGGTGATACTCGTGGCCTAAGATCTGACATAACTTGTGAAAAATGATTTAAACAGGTGTGAAACAGACGACTGTAAAATTGGTTTAAGAACTCTACCTTACATTTATGTAAGAACCACCCAAGAAATAAGTGTAGATTTGTTGGTCTTGCAAGGCAAGCATATACGGTATTTGTTAACTCAGGTACAAAGACCGCTTTTTCACAGGAGTATTCTCTAAATTCTCATTTAAATTTGCGGGTCACCTTAGGTTTAATTACTTCACGGGGAAAAATTCCTTCCAGGCTATTCGGCCTGTTTTAATACGAATAAAATACTACTGTATTTTGATACCATTTCAGACATTGTTGAAATGGTGTCCGGACTAGATATTAGGCTATCTCAGTGATAATGATAAAAACAGTGTACGTTTTGACTTGAAACAGGGTTTGATCCCCTTTTGAAGTACAGATTGAACTGTGCTGTAGTTTTTCCACCCCTACTGGACAATTGACATGCTACATTTTCAAGAAATGTTAAGTAGCTTTGAAAACAAGAAATAGCTAAGAAATTTGTTTTGAAAACTCTTTCATTCTTCCGTCTCTCTAAGTGTTCTGTTATCAAAACTATGTTTAACCATGGGGTCAACGCTCCAGCAACTATCTCAGATTAAATAAATTTACAGCAGATATGTAAACAGGATTTGAAGAAAATCCTTAATGTAAACATCTTCAAGAAGGGTGATTCGCAGTGTTCGTGTTCAGTTTTACGTTCATGAAAAATTGCGAAGAAATGTTTCGTCTACTCAAGCACGGTATATACACTTGTGCGAGTTTCGCGAAAAAGTTAGACAGTACTGTATAAATAAATTTGTGCGAACAACTTTACTCAGTAAAAACATTATCTTATTTGAAAATAACACATATATACTAGTAAAAAAATTTGGGCGTAGAACTCTACGCGAAAGCAATGATTCTGTAAAACACTATATATATACTATTAAAAAAAATTGGGTGAGGAGCGCAACGCGAGCTCAAGCACGTAATTGCAAATTTGATTTAAATTAATCACGTTGTTAAAATTTACTTATTAAAACATAAACAAATGCTTTGAAAAAGATTTCGACCGCAAAAGTGCTAAATTGTTTCCTGTATTCCACCCCTTCGATTTAAAATACAACAGAATGGTTTCCAGTTAAGGAAATAAATTTGTTTCGTAATAGTTTTGACTTCAATTTGACCTCCAATTTCGTTTCCTTTTAAATAATTTTGGTATAAATATAACCGTCTAGATTCGAATGTAGTTAACACTTAAACGTCAAGGAATTGAGCAGATAATATCGGTATATTAATTAACTGAGTTCTTAAAATAGATAGAAATGGTATAGATGAATTAAAGTTTTTTGATCTTCTTTTTAAATCTGGCACACACAGCATGAAAACTGCGGCGTGCGCTTTGTAGGAGAAAGATCGCGCTTCGACCTGCCATGGATTGAAGTGGAGTGTGTATTGTGAAATCAGTTGGGTGTAACTGTACATTACTACATCTACATGCATGCCTGCTATCTAACATAGAAGTCATTTTAATAGACAAATTGGAGTATGGTTTGCGTAGATAAGATATTCCGGGACGACCACTTTAATCAATTGCAGACCAGTACGTGACAGTTCGGATGTATAATGGGTACGAACTCAATAATAGCTCAGAAACTTTTGCTAAAATTAGGTGGGAAAGAGAGAGCTTTCGTGACTTAAAAAGAGCACTTGAACTATCCGACGACAATGGTGGTCCAATTCTAATAAAAAACACGTTTCTTAACTTTTCCTTTTCTCCCCTATATTCTGTTACCGGATTTATTTCTCGCTCGTGGTTTCTAGTGGAATTGTCCAGCTAGGAAGCTAGTCGTGAAGTTGAAATGAAAGAGATTTAGCTTTATATCATTGTCGTGTACCTAACATAAAGAACTTGAGATTATCTTACAGTAAGCGGATAAAACTATTTTTTTTTACTTAAACTGAAACTGAGCTGACAAAAAGGAAAGATGATCTGCTTTAGAAGCTAGAGCAAACTGGAGTTAAACTGAGTTTCATTCGTCAACGTTCTTGTGACGTGAGAGTAAGATCATTTCATTATTGACTGGGGTCGACTCTTTATCACTACATGCCCTATAAGTAATACAGAACATTACGTTACTGGTATCTTACTGGTGGCTTGGCATTTCGCGCGATTCTTCTACATGTTCCCATTTGATTTTAATGGCTATTTCATGGCTTTATCAGCCAGGGTGTGGTACTCATAAGTGTTCCTTTGTCATAACAAACTGTTTTGTGTTGATTAACTAACAAGAGCCATATGTGTTTTAATAACGTGACTACTTGCTTGCCTGCAAGCACGTTAAGTATCACCCTGTTTTCATCGCAGCACTTTGCAAGAACGCCCCTTTCCTCTTGTAGATGTTAGCTGCGAGACAAAGTCATTGAAAGAATACGGCATGTTGACTAAGAGGTCATGTTCTACGAGCAGAGAGCTATTTATTGGCACTACAAAGTCGTTTAGTAGTTAAACTTGTTCTCTGCATTTTTGTTCGGTGATAAATTGCAAATGACACTGGCGGAGAAATTGAATCCATGTATTTTAACATTTGTTTCTTTTCTGTTACGTGTCCAGAAGAGAAGTTAACGCCTCAAAGGGGAAGTTCTTTAAGTCATGAAATTTTTTGTGGTTTTTACATTGATTATTAAAACAACACGAAGTTTGGTTTCCTAGTTAAAGTCACGGTTTCTAGAAACTTCTACAATCGCATTCCACAGATAAGAGCCTGTTTTCACTTCTTATTAGTCCTACAGTGCCATGAAAAACGTTATGTTGTAAAAGGCAAGCAAACCACGGTTAAGCATTCTAAAAAGCGTTCGCAAAGCTGAAATCGGTTTCCTTTGAACTTTTCATTTTATCTCAGTTTCTAAACTTTTTCCCGTTCTGATCACGCATTAGAGCTAAAAATAAATTCTTTGATCCTCTTTTGCAACTGTATAAAACAGCATTATAGACTGGATGGCGAGAAATGAGAGACTTCCAGGAAAATGAAACATTTCTGGGTTTCGGTAACACCCCACGCACGCACGCAACCTGTAAATGAGATAGCTAAATATAGCATATATGTATTCCATATTATTATCCGGATAGAACTCGGCAAAACAATAACTGGCTAAATCGTTAAAGTAATAATCAGAAAACTGAAGAGCACTTTTTACAGTCTCTGGAAGTCGTTGCAGGGAATCCCAGCATGTGCTGTGAGGCAGCCGTGCTCGTTGTTGGAAATCTTGATACCAGCCAGATTTGTGAAAAATTGTGCTGATCCAACGCTAATTGCCTATGGCTCCAAATTTCAGCCGCCGTGAGCAAAGTTGAGGGCGAAAGGGAATACAAAACGCTAAAACCATTAGTTCAAGTAAAGAAGCGTTTTATTGTTTTATTTTGAAAATAAACTTTTGGTCATGTCAGTCCGGTTTGTTTAGTATAATTGCCAATAACTTGTTCTTAGTTTATTCGCTGTGGAAAGTTCACGTAAGCGAAGAAATTATTCGTATAAACCACATAATCACCGATTATAACAAGCAAATATTTAAACCCGGTCATAAAGAACTTAGATGAACTTAGAAAAACAAAGTCTGTTTTCAAAGACCCCTGCTTTCTTATGCATTTGCCGTATTTTTTAATTAAACGTCAAAGTTTGGCTAAAATTCTCGACACAACTTTATGTTTTAACCTTTTGTAAAGCTGTGACAAGAAAGCATATAGAGCCCCTTAATACGCTCTTGGTGGTGATTATGACAAAGTGGCTGGGAAATTTTGCTGCTGCTTTCAATGTTCTTGTCTTCACACGTGGTAAAGCAAATACCACTAATCTTAGATAAGAGCATAAAGGAGAAAAAGTTACATCAGTTGGCGCGTGTTTGATAAAGTTTGACGCGGAACGAAAAATTTGTGGAAAATGAAGCAATCTTGCGCTTAGTGTTTACATTGCTTTGTTTATTGAACCTAAACCCCCAATAATTCTACCAGCATATCTAAAAAAGTGTAGAGGCTTTTATCAAGACAGGGTATCATGAAACTTTTACTGGCGGAAACCCTATTGACCGTCATGCGATTTCATTGTCACTGGTGTATGAATTTTTATTTCTAGTAAGTAGAAACCAAAATGAAGTTCCCAGAGATAACTTTTTGGAAGTGCTATTTCCTTCACTTGAATTCACTAGTGTGGTTTAAATTTTTTTATATCTATATTTTGGTGTGCACTAGTGTATCAGTAATTGTTCTGTTCTGTCCTCGTTCCGCGAGAACTCATTTATCATAGAGTTTGCAGTTCAACTGTTCTCAGTGGTTGTCTTGCAAAATTTTAATCTCCTACGGATGGATAACAGGATAATCGGCTCAGACAACACCTTTGTCAGAGAGATAAATTAAAGACAAACGTTCCCCCGTACTGAAAAAACAAGATCAAAAACAGTTCTCTAGGAACACTTCTGACTCAAAGATTTACGCAAAAATGAATAAATAGTCCAGACTATTGTTTTATCTGGAATCACTACAATTGTCAAAGCTACAGTATAACGAAAACAGTGTAAAAAATTAACTAGTTGCAAATTTTAGTTAAAAAGGTTATCTACCGTACTTCAGTGATTCAGAATCTGAAAAAGGCGATGCTTGACTCTGCTAACCCATCTCAAAAGAATAAAAGATCAATAAAACAGCAAACACAGCAGTAGCAACAATTACTGTAATAGAAACTAAAACAAAAACACCATAAGCCCTGCAATTTGAATCCGCTAAAGCCACAGTTTCGTTGATGCACAGTCAGTGGTCAAACTCGACCTGTCCACCACTTTTCCTCATTGTAGTAAAAGTTTTCACGCACGTAACCAACCTAATTTACTTCCTTCTTCAATGCAATATTATTTAAGGATAATAAGCTGATAAAACTACCCCCAGCCGGCAATTCAATCTAAATTAGTTATGCTCTATTTTAATACTCTTTTTCAAGTATCGTAGAATGGCGGACTTGTACAGTTTGTTGTGCGATTCGAGGAAAGTCGGCAGTTTTGGCGTAATTAGATCTGTTATTTTGTTTCCGGTGTTTCACACTACATTAAATGCCCTAGGCAATGGATATGAAGGTATATCACGACAAACATGAAAGCCTGAAATAACTGCCTCATTTAGTTGTCTCAAGCGATATTGAGATTAACTGTGATAAATCAACATGCTTTACTGAATGTATGCCGCAAACAAGAAGCCTTTTCCTCGACTTTCAGAGGTCAGGAGTAGGACTATAATTTAGGCTCATTAACTAACTGATGACAGAAGTTTGAGAAACGTTCGAAGAGTAGCCGCCTTGTTTTGAATTTTTATCTTTTTGATGGGTGTCGATTTCTTTGTCATCATGTAACTAGCTTAATTCAAAAGGGCCTAAAAAAGTAAGGGATTATGTTGAGTTTTGTTGCCTGATTCCTTAACTAACTTTCAACCTCGAATAAGTTGACGTTTCAACTAACTGCTGAGTACTGTGGACAAAGTTTTAGCGGATGTGATCTCGTTGACTGCGGTGAACAGCTTTACAAATTTTCGATCAATTTTCAATTCATGGCACGCTTGATGCTTTCAGCGTTTTTAATAGGATTTCTTCTCTTTGATTTTCAGTTTAGCAGCCTGTGTTGGGAATGATGAATGATGTAAAAACCATCAATATCGTCAGTTAACTGTTAACTGTTCGTGCTTATTTCCCGCATACTTTCGTTTTCTAATGCGCCTTTCAGCAGGAATTTATTTAGCTTGAAATCTTCTAGTGCTTCAACCCTTCCGTTTTTGACATAGTTCCTTGTTCATTTCTTCCATCTACGTAGTCCATAGTCCTTTTCATTTCTTTTGAAATTTTGAGCAATTAAAAGTAAAAATTGTCAGCCAAGATAGGTCTTTCTAAAACTAGCCCTCGAGCCTCGAGCAGGGCGCTAAGGTGCAAATCCTCTAAGTCAGCTTGAAGGTGGAGTAATGTTTCACTCCCTTACGTGATGAATTTGGGTAAGCGCGATGCTAACTCTTTACCCCCAACTCGGAATTTGAAAAGCGATTCATACACTTGAGTTGAGACAAAAGCCTTAAAGCTGTCTCAAATGTTCATTTAATATTTGGACAGGAAGAGGACGATCAAAAACTTTTTTCTAATCTTAACCAGGGTAGTATTTTTTGGCTGCCTTCGCCCAAGCTTTACCCTTTATCTTTTGCCTTGCTGCTTTGAAAACCCGTTTGCACAGGTCGTTTTTCGTGTGATTTTTCCCTAAAAATTTTGTTGTGATTTTGTGTCCTTTTCTTGGCGATTTCATTGTAATTTTTCAGTCTTTATGAATAATCCATGGCGCTAACCATGGCTCAGTCGCGTCCCCAGAGCTGTCATTCTTTAGGCCAGCGTCACGAATCAATCCATGGATCCATGATGGCGCTGACCAAAAGAGTCGCAACATTTGGGACGGGAATAATGGTTTTGTTTCTGCACAACGCATGCGTTATGAACACTAAGCCACAACGGTATTTTTTTGCAAGATAACCGAGATAACTAAGCGGGTTACCATCCTTAGCAACAAAGCAGTTTTCGTTTGAGATTTGTCAGTAATTTCGCATTTTCTTTAACAGGCAATCATGAATGTGATCTTGTTACAAGTGCTTTTTCACCATTTACATTAATGCATTTTCTTCAATTCTGTTTGTTTCCTTCGCTTAGTGTTTCGCGTCTGTTAATAGGATAGAGAAACGACCGTAGTTGTTCCTGAAAAGGCTTTGGTAATCAGGTGTCTGTCTCGCCGTAATCAGTAAAATGTGTGGTTGTATGTTTAAGCTCTGCTTTTCGATTTTCAACAGTGATCAACCTATACTGATACGCCCCTCTTGAAATCAGCTCAATTAACCCGTAATGTTCTTACTGATTCTCCTGTATTTTTTTTCCTTTTCTCTATATGCAGTCGTTAAAAGGTCCTGCCACAGTGAACTGCTTAAGTGTGAACACTTCTGTCGTGAGCCGGCCAATGAAAAGGCTGAATGTGGGTGCAAGGATGGCTATGTTCTCCAAAGTGATGGCACATCTTGTGCAGGTAAAACTTAAAAAAGCTCAAACCCCATCATGTCTTGGAGCCCTCGAAAAAGCTCAGCCACGAACTATAAGATACCAGGCTTTACACAAGTCGATCCTTCTTCCTCGATAAAAGCGATATAGTCTGTGCTTGTAAACGGCACAGATTTAATAACATACGATTGCTTAACATATGCGATAGCGACTGTCGATAACAAAGTACAGTAGTACAGTTCTCCTTCATCTTTATCTTTTATCTTAAATTGTAATGGCCGTCAATTGAAACTTAACCGACGATATATTATTTAAAACTGTTTTTTGATGGTTTTGTGTAAAAACACCCCGTTTTCATTTGGCAAATGGCAAGTGGCATTCGACTGTCGATAGCAAAGTCAATAGTAAAGTTCTCATTCACCTTTATCTTTCATCTTTAATTGTAATAATTGCCAACAGAAACTAATTGGGCGATATATTCTTAAAATTTGTTTTTCATGTTCTTCATGTAAGTTAACACCCTTCTTCATATGACAAATGACAAGCGGCAACGGCAATCGAAATAAACGGCGGGAAAATCTTATAGTCATCATTGCCGCAACGTGAGCAACCGTTCCTGCATTTATGGAAACACTTCTCTGTCCTTTTTTGATCATTTTGTAGCCAGTATATAATAGTAATCCAAGAAAATTAATTTTGCAATTGCTTTCTACGACAGTTACCTCAAATGTTTCTTGAAAAACGACACTTTCTTTTCAGCTGGGTCTTCTCGATCACCACCTGGTACCAAGCCCGCTGAGCCTCAGTCGACTGAGACCGGGTGTGGGAATGGGCTCAAGTGTGAACACAAGTGTATAAAGTACGGTGGCAAGTCACAGTGCACGTGCAATAACGGCTATCAGCTGCACATGAATGGCTTTAGTTGTGTTGGTAAGTTTTCTCACTACACAACTCAATTTCTTACGTGACCAACAAGGGGTACTTACCATTTTTATACATGGGAAAACCGTAAATTCTGGTTGGAAAATCAAATGGTTCGCGGAATTCCGTTTGGGAAGCTTAGAGAACATGGGCTGTAACTTGGTGTGTGCCAATTTTTGTACTCCTTTCAGTCTGTTAAGCTGATTTGGACATAATTTGTGACGGGTCGTTCTCCCACCTCGTCAAATTTTATAGTTTTTTTTTATGAAGCAAGCTCTCCTACAGGTTACGGTTTGTCAGCGGGTATGAGTTGTCTCGGGATGAGAATGTATATAATATGATTGCTTGAAACGAGGTACTTTGAAGGCAAACTTACCACCAAAATCACCTACTTCTCTGTGCAAGGAAGCTGAACGAGGGCCAAAAAATAATAATACGGCTTCCTGGGGAGACTGGGATCTACAGTAAAGGGTATGAAAAAACAAATCTTCCCGATGTATGGTCATAACCCACTCTTGTAGAACAATGCCAAATCTTGTTCACATATTTATCAAACAATGCCTTGTTTGCATGTTTTAAAAGTAGAAGTTATCTTACATGGAAGGTTTTGAGGTGAAAGTTGTAAAACAAAGTTCAGTAATAGTTTGAACGAAGAATGTTAGCCTTGACTTCACAATTATAGGCTATCTCTTGGCTCAAATCAAGGGAGGACTGCATCTCTATAGCGTATTGCTCAAATTACAAAAGTATTCATCTCTGATATATTCTTTGTTTCCAGACATAAACGAATGTCGGCAGTCACCATGCTCACAGCTTTGCACAAACTCTCCGGGATCATTTTCTTGTTCTTGTAAATCCGGATTCGAACTGCAATCGGATAAAACCACTTGCAAAGGTAAAAGCAAACTGCAGACTGACAGGTCTGTGGAAGGACAGTCTAGTCTTGATAGCAGGGCAAAACAGTCCCATAGTCGGGCTCAGTAGCTATCGATAGATTGCTTCATCGCTCAGTGAGTGTGTGCCACGGTATAGATACTTAGTTTGGTACCTCTCTGGTCCCACATGTGGTGGAGTCTTGCTAATCCTCGTAAATGCTCACACTGACCTTTCAGATTTCTCTACGCTGTGCAGTAACGTGTGTCTGAAGTCAGGAACAACAAGGAGACAGCGTGGCCAAGCGGTTAGAGAGCAGGATTTTTAATTCAGCGGCTCACATCTTCGGCGACGCTTGTAATGTAGCCAGCTAGTTCGCGTTCTACCAGCTGGGATTCTTAACCATGTTATGTTACATTTGAATTTTTGTTTCTTTATCCCTGAAAAACCCCATGAGAGGAGAGAATATTTAAGTAATTACATTTAAATTCAGTTTAAAATCCCCGGAAAATGTGACCGAACGTTATGTGTATATTTCAATTCTATCCACAGAAAAGAAGATTAACTGTTCACCGAACGATATCGCTTGCATCGAGAAATGTTCCCAGTCTGGGAACTGTTCATGCCCACCAGGAAGCGTGATGTCCCCGGATGGAGAGACATGTGTTGGTGAGTGTTTCAACCCTGCCTATTCCATCCAATCTCTTGCCATTTCTATGATCAGTCGTTAATTATAAGCCTCCGGTCGACACTTGTGTCTCCGCTGAACAATAGAAACGGTTCTCTTCATCGCCTTTGAGGAGTTGCGCGCTCCCAGGAAGTCTGTAGTAAACCGTTCATATGCGCACATGTTTTTTGTCGAGAACTCGATCACAGTCTCGCAACTTGATACCGTAAGAGAAAGACTGGTACGGAGAAGAGACCCGCTCACTAACATTATTACAGCTCATGTAGAACCGTAAAATTTTAATTTTGTTTTAACGCGCTATTTTGAGTTCTGTTTTACCCGATTACGATTAATGCCGGCCAGCTTACGCAAGATTAAGAGGTACCATTGCCAATAATTGGTGCTTCTTGAAATCTAATCGAAGTGTCTGTAACAGTGGAAATTTCCTAGGAACGGTCTGGTCTTGCTAGGTTTTTATAATAGAACATGTAAACTGTGTTTTATGGCAAGGACGGATCGGGAAAATATCTGAGAGAAAAACTTGAACGAAACGTCGAGTCGGTGATGTGATGGTATTCGGGAATATTTAGTTCTATGGCTTGCCCACTCGTTAGAGAATGAGTCTTGCCTGGTCTCTCAAAAGTCAATGGCTAAATTGTACCCCAGCGGGTAAACTTTCCTACTTGTGCTGTTGTGTAGTTTCGGCGAAAAACTTTGGGAGTTCCTCCGTAGGACAAAAGATCTTAAACTGGTTTTAGATCGTGCGTTTAAATTAACATAGCTCATTTTCACGTCAGTTTTTTATTATAATCGAGAACCATCAAGCAAACAAACAAAGAGAAGTTCTAGAGTTTAGCAACTAATTTTTGGTGCTTTTGTGATGTTCGCTTTGAGGGCGTTAGAGGTCATTCGATTATTTTACTTTTCTATCTAAACATTTCGAGCGTATTACCGTTTGTAGTGTAATCCAAAATAGTAGCAATTTAATGGAAAAACGTTACTCAGTCGCTTCTTTCATCTTAGGCAAAATATAGGAATTCTCATTTGGGGCTTGTAACTGCTTTACCTTCTGTGCATCATTAAATTTGATATTGATAAACCCAGGAACAAAGACAGGAAATAATGGCATTTGTGAATAGACAAATTTAGAAGTTCATAGTTGACCTCTGCATGTACCTGTAGACACCAAGTCTGGGGTCTAAATTGCTCTTTTGACACAGTTCACTTTACAAATTTCAAATAGTATTTCCGGCAAGTGAAAGGAAAGATTAAAAACCAAAATAATTATTAAAAAACTCTTTTTTTTTCTCCCGCATCGGAGCATGTTTTAGAGAACTTTTACGAAGCGCTCTTAAACATAATTTAAATAATTTTAGCAGTGGCTGATTCAATTTGGACACGGTTAATTTCCACTACATTGCGTTCATTAATTAACGCCGGGTAATGGCAAAAGCTGGAGCCTGCGCCGTGTAGATGTCGAGTGTTTGCTTAGCTCGGATAAGGGAGTGCACTGACACAGGCTAAACATACAGCAGTTTTAGAGAAACCAAAACGTGTCGTTGGTTTACAAGCCAATCTGTCAGATCATCGGTTGCTCTTTGCATTTCAATAAACAATTTGCACGTCAGCATCGTTCGGCCACTTCCACCATCACTCTTCAACGTTTCATTTCTTTAAGTGTTGTTTTGTTCAGATTGTTACGGTCGCCTAGTTACTATACATTCCTGTTCAAGCTAAGCTCCTATTTTCGCCAGTAACTCTGGCAGGAACGATCGCCACGTAGGATATTTAAGTAATTGTTTTTTAATAGTATTTGAATGCCATTAGTTCTAAGACGACTAAAGTCAATACAGACACCGAAATGAAATCGTCTTGGAAATGTCCTTTAAGATCACGGGCAGTCGAAAGTTTAGCTTTGTGCTGCTTATTCCGTCCGTACAAATGAAGATAATGAATTTGGTAGAGCAATGGCTTTCTTGGGGTGACAATTGTTTTGTGGCATTAGGATAGAAAAAGTTTAAAAACCTTTAAATTCTTGGTGATTTCTTTCATCACAATGGGTATTATGGAGAAATGTTTTGCTCCAGATACAGTTCACAAGTTTCAAGGTCTTATCTATCTGTCTTTATTGTCTCTATGTCTCATCACATTAACGTTTCAAATTCAAACGAACATTTTATTAAAAGCTTAAACGCAATTGCTTTGTCACCGACTGACTTGATAACTACATGCCCTCACACTTTGTAGTCCCTCTTCTTTTAACGCTGTTAACCAGCTAAGTTTTCGTTTTTTTCATATTACTTTTAGAGGTAAACGAGTGTAGCTTGTTCAGAGGAGTTTGCCATCAGAACTGTGTGAACACACCCAGAGGATATCGCTGTTCCTGCAGTCAGGGATATGAGCTGGATAACAATGGAATTTCCTGCACAGGTGAATTATGGGATGGGGAAGTGAACACATGTCGACGAATTTCTCTTTCTAAACTCTGATACAGTCCTTTAGAACTCAGCTTCAGAAAAAATCACCAACATTTGACAAATTAAACGAGATGGATTAAGAGTGACGTAGTGTGAAACAGCGCGAATTCGCTTTTCAAGGCGACATCCCAGTTTGCGTTTGTCCCAGTAGAGATGAGATGAGTGACGTCATGTTACCATGGTAGCAAAATTTCTGGATGACAAAAAAAGTGAGCCTATGTAACGACGACGACGCAGTGAGAGCGGCAAAAAAACAATAGGCTTATATTAGTAAAATATCAACTTTACATGTGCATCACGCTTTTTTGTACATTTCCTAGCCGTCGTTGCATGACTGCGTTGCTGACTTGAGTAGGTGAACTCAAACAAAAATTTTCCTTTTTCTTTTTCTCAACTTAGCTACGGTCGTTTCGGATGCAGCCCCCCAAAGTTTTGCCAACATTTATCAAATTAAATGAAATTGAATAAGATCGATGAAGTTTGAAACAGTGCGCATTCGGTGACGTTTTCGGTTTACTGTTACCCAGAAATTTTGCTACCGTGACGTAACGACTTCTCTCTATTTTCAAGAGACCTACAAATTGTAGCCTCTGTCAGACTCTCAGATAGAACGGACGTCGCAAAAACAAGCCCGGCGAAAACAAGACGCGCGTGATCTGGGGACGTGGGCGGTGGCGGGAAAGGAAGAATCGCCTCCTCTCTCCCCAGCCCCCGCGTGTCAGTTTTCCTGTCATTTTTTGGAACCTTGAAAAGGCTACGAAGACCTCTCCATAACTATCACATGAAAGCAAACGGAAGGAAAACACTTATGTTCTCACTGTACCTCAGTCGCTTTGTTTTGTTTTCTGTTTGATTGACTGTCTTTATTTTTACTCGTATTAAAATGCCATAATAAGCAATTATACGGCCAAAAATATTCTTTCTTCCCCCTCAAAATCAGTGTGTCACATTACACCTCTGACCACCATAACGGCCACATTCATCTTCAACGGCCACTTACCTCTGCCCCAAGGTGGCGGTTGTATTGAGGTTGGACGATACTTTATAGGACTGCCCCTCCATAAAAACACTAACATTTGATTTTGCACTTGACTTGGTGGGTAGTGCGAGTAGGTCAGTCAAAGAGAAAGGTACTAATCGTATTAATTACATCCAATTGATATCCTGGTGCAAAACAATGAAATTGCGCTTCACAAAAAACCTTTCCTATCCACCATATTGTGAAACACCTAACCCAGTTTTTCACCTTTCCTTTTTCTATTTTTTTAAAGTCAGTTCTGTTTTATCGTGCAGATATTGACGAGTGTTCGCGGGGAAGTCATGGATGTCATCACAACTGCCGTAATGTTCCTGGTTCTTATTTTTGTTCATGCAGACGAGGATTTCGCCTCAGTAATGATCTTAAGACTTGCGTAGGTATGGAACGCTTTTATTATAGCCAAATTAAAAAAAAAAAAAAAATGAAAACCAACAGTCCCCACTCGCCTTACAAAATGAAATAGGTATAACCAGTTAGCGTTTGATCTCAACAATCAGTTCAAACTGTTCATGCGTCTTTGAACTGGTCATTTGTCCAGAATTTAGACAGTGTTTTCAGGTACATTATCAGCGGCTATGTTAGTTTCTTGAAACAAAAGAGTGTGTCTACGTAAGAAAAGAGTTGAAGTCCTACTGCATTGGTCTGTAGTACCAATATGAAAGTCACACATTCCGTTGTTTCGGTATTGCGGAGGCGACCCCATCTGAAATAGTGTACGGGGTGTGGAAATTAATCTCAACACCAAAGGACAGCTCGGAAAAGAAGGAACCTGTTTCAAGCGAGGGATAAAAGTGTTAAAAGAGAGAGATACAAGCCTAATATCTTGATGCCTTTTTCATTGTTGTAGATATAAACGAGTGCGCGTTGTATCCTGGCACGTGTCCTTTTCCCTCGAGATGCCGTAACACGATTGGTGGACATACCTGTGAATGTCCCAAGGGATTTGTGATGGACAGACAAAAAATCTGCGTTGGTAAGTATACATGTGCATTGCAAACTCTAAATATGTTACAGGAACCTAAACTGACATCCAGATCTCCCACGGACAAATCTACAGACGGTCGGCNTTTTATCGTGCAGATATTGACGAGTGTTCGCGGGGAAGTCATGGATGTCATCACAACTGCCGTAATGTTCCTGGTTCTTATTTTTGTTCATGCAGACGAGGATTTCGCCTCAGTAATGATCTTAAGACTTGCGTAGGTATGGAACGCTTTTATTATAGCCAAATTAAAAAAAAAAAAAAAATGAAAACCAACAGTCCCCACTCGCCTTACAAAATGAAATAGGTATAACCAGTTAGCGTTTGATCTCAACAATCAGTTCAAACTGTTCATGCGTCTTTGAACTGGTCATTTGTCCAGAATTTAGACAGTGTTTTCAGGTACATTATCAGCGGCTATGTTAGTTTCTTGAAACAAAAGAGTGTGTCTACGTAAGAAAAGAGTTGAAGTCCTACTGCATTGGTCTGTAGTACCAATATGAAAGTCACACATTCCGTTGTTTCGGTATTGCGGAGGCGACCCCATCTGAAATAGTGTACGGGGTGTGGAAATTAATCTCAACACCAAAGGACAGCTCGGAAAAGAAGGAACCTGTTTCAAGCGAGGGATAAAAGTGTTAAAAGAGAGAGATACAAGCCTAATATCTTGATGCCTTTTTCATTGTTGTAGATATAAACGAGTGCGCGTTGTATCCTGGCACGTGTCCTTTTCCCTCGAGATGCCGTAACACGATTGGTGGACATACCTGTGAATGTCCCAAGGGATTTGTGATGGACAGACAAAAAATCTGCGTTGGTAAGTATACATGTGCATTGCAAACTCTAAATATGTTACAGGAACCTAAACTGGCATCCAGATCTCCCACGGACAAATCTACAGACGGTCGGCCAGTGAACTTTGGGTAGCAGATTAGTAAGAACCCTGAAATGCTGGAATTAACAAAAAGTCTATTAATTTCTACTTGATTCCTTTTTGCGATTCAACTAAGATTTAGTGCCACAAGAAAATCCTTCCAAATGCTGAAAATTTCTTGATAAAAGTTACCGTACTAGCGCATAAGAATTGTTAGAAAAATCCCCCTGGTTATGGAAGAGTGGGGAAGAAATGTGCTAAAACTTAAAAACGATGGTGGGCCAACGTTTTCAAATTTAACAGTGTTATTTAGAAACGTATTTCCAAGCAATCGATTTTCGTTTGCTCACACTTTATCAAATGATCTTTTTTCTTTTTCTTGTTGCTCTAACTAATGCCATTTTGGGCATCTGTTGGGAGTACTTCATCGTTGTTTAAAATAGAAGAAGTACAAACAACAATTTACAAGTTGGTATAGAAGTGCTTTTAATGAGTGTTATGTTCTTTTTGTAGATGAGAATGAATGCGCAAAATCAAACGGAGGTTGCAGTCAAAGGTGTGAAAATTTCCCAGGAAGTTTTAGGTGTTCGTGTCAATACGGCTTCATGTTACAAGCAGACAGGAAAACTTGTAAAGGTAAACATTCTTTGTAGACTGCAAGCCCAGTAATCTTATTTTAGTGTGAACGGCGCACTCATCGTGCAGCGAGTGGTGAATTTGTGAGACGGGAGACACCAGTGTGTCACCACACTATTAGGCTGATTTAGAAACAGAAAGGGAACGTCAGTTGACGAAGGCGCGTGCAAATCAAACAACTGGCTTGACCAATGGCAGAGCGACAAATTGGGCACCGGAAGTGGAGTTTAGTCGTTTTCGCGCGCTTTCCGTTCCTGACGTCAAATGACGTTCGCGTTCTGTTGCTAAATCAGCCTATAGGTTCTTTGACGTCCTCAAAGGCTATATTCGTACTATACCGGATAGCTTTCGTAGCGCCACGAAAAGTTTTCCGGTATAGCTTGAACAGTGAATGGCCCGGTTAGGCACAGGTCAGTCACACACATCGAACATTGTGCCGGCGCGGATGGCCGGGGGGGGGGGGGTCTGGTGAACTAAATTCCAGTCCTCACTCCTTAATAATTGCTTCCGTCTCAGTGGGTTCCAGTCCTCGCTCCTAATTATTTTTTTTGCGCGACGGGCTGAATACTGTAGGTGTTCACTTTGCACCAAAGTGTGGTACAAAACCTATCCGATGTGTCACGCCACGTTCGTGGTCGGCGCGGCGTAGCTTCGCTTCTATTGTGTGAACAGAAGCCTTATGCGGACTTAGTCTCCCTCCTTTCTGCCGGTATTTAAGACTACAAGTACACCCTGATAGATAGTAGAACTAGCGAAAACTAGAGCCTAGGAAATATAGCTCTACATCCTGTGACGACACACGTGACGACACACAACACAAGGTGTAAAGGGGATTGAGACTACTTCTAGTCTACGCGCGTTACTTGTTTTAGGGCCAAATAGGTAGACAATCCCACAGAAATTCAGAGCTGGCAAAAGCTCGGAGATCGATGGGAGATAGGGGTGTGATCCCAAGCAACCCACGGTAGGGGAAGAGAGGGCACTGAGTGCGAGTCCGTGTATTATGGGATTATCACCACAAGACGCACAAAGTGTGGTGTTTATAATGCCAATATTGAACGAAATACAGCCATTCTCTAAAATTTGTATAAGTAATGGCATGATTTGTAGAGATATTTGGCATAAATACCACGGGTGATATTTCGAAATTGTTATACATAATTTGACGAGCCGTTAGGCGAGTGAAATTTGAGACAATTTTGAAATATCACGAGTGGTATTTATGCCAAATGTCACGTACAAATCATGCTATTATTTGTTTATACTACTACCCACAACACGTTTGTAATTTTCCCATGTAGGTATATCAAATTAAGCTGAAATACCACTGCTCTAAGCCAATCAAATTCCAGAAATTTCTCATGTAGTACTATAAACTAAGAAATATATAGACGTCCTGACAATAGTTCATTCAAAGCGAAGCTATTGACATGAAAATGATTTTTTATTCTCATGCAAAATAAAACTCATTTTCAAAAACAAAGTTTTTGCACTTAGCTTCGTTTTGAAAGCGAGATATTTTGGAACTCGGAAATAGCCTGTTGTTCGGAATTCCGTAAATTTCTTAGTCAATTTTCAAGTGTTTGAATGGCCCCATCTTGTTATATATAGGCGCGCTTTTTCACATTCCTAACGAAAAGCTGTTTGTTTTTCAGATATCGATGAATGCAAAAGATATTCATTTTTGTGCCAATTTAGTTGCGTGAACACTCCAGGAGGGTACAAATGTTCTTGCCCACCTGGCAAGCTCCAACACCCTAATGGATTTATGTGCCTATAACGACCCATACTGCGTGTTCTCCTACTGGGGTGGCCATTTAGACAGTTAAACAAGGAAACTTTTGGAAATGGCTTTACTGAAAGAGAGTACCTGTACGATAAAAGCTGAAAACCTTCTTATCAGCTATATTCAGTACCAACACGCCCACACACATTTTCCGCAAGGAACTTGTTTCAGTTCAAAGCAGAACAATTTTAAACATTTCGAGGATAGAAAATCAGAGCATCTACCCATGTCGATTACTCGGAAAGCGAAAACATGGACAAGAAGTATGGTGACAGCAGCGCTAACCCCAGGTCTGTTTTATTGACCATTAAATGCACTGAGCAAAGGACATTCGATTACATTTTAATTGTAAAGGATTCTTTAAGACTGTAAATACCGTGGCCATTAATGTTGTATTTAATTTACCTCGGGTAAGGTAAAAACTTAGTGAATTTTTTTTAGTTTAGTGAAGTTTCAAAAATACACTGAAAAACGTTACTTCATATGTCGAAGCCAGCTGTATGGGTGAGACAATCCCAAGACATGATACGGTGGATCTACGTTACTATTGACTGGTGAGAATGAATTTATATGTTTTCATTGCCAGATTTTGTTTGTATGAAATACAGTCAGGACGTTCCTTAATTCTTGGAAAAAATTGGTCATATGTGTCGTAGATTGACTGTCATGCGCATTGTTAGGCGATGCTTTGTATTTATAACTTAAATCAAGGGAAATTATTTGAGCAGAATTTACCAGTGATTTCTTCAAATTAATCAATAATTGGCAGAGATCTCTGGTATGCTTTGACACACTTTCTAACCCGAAAATGATAACTTCGGGGAACTACATGCTTTTCAGCCGTGTTAATTCGTTGTTTGCACTTACACCGTCCCTGATAAAAAGTGTTTTACAGCTCTTATTAATGAAATATAGCCGAAGTAAAGTTATCAGGTGTTTAAATGTCAATTTTATACGGCATTTTTTCCTGATTGCTGGGAAGTTCGGACACAAACAAATCTGTCTGCGCTTTTTTAATCAAATGAATGTGTAAAATATTCTTTATAAGAATGACTGATCGCCTCTGAACAGAGGTAGCATTAGCGATTGCCTTCGATGTGAACGAATTGAAGCAATCCAAAGATTATTTCACACTGGAACATATTTTCGGTAAGAGAATTGCAAAAGTCGCAATCACAAAAGCCTGTTGAAACGATGATGAAATAAAATTTATTTGAGTGGTTATTGTTAAGCGTAGATTGTTTAAAAGGAAAATGCTTCGCACGCAAAGTGACAAATGTGCCTATGAATTCGTGGAGATAACACTGAGGTGGGACAGGTCCTGAGGTCAAATAACCGAGTATTGGGCATGGTTAAATTAGCAAGTGTGTACAAACTTATGCTTTTACGGATGTATTCGGCTATCTACACGAGAACAATGTCATCGTTAAAGATGATAAGTGTGGAGGAAAGCTGTAAATAAAAAGAACAGAGAGATTTAGTGTCTCACGTTTACGGCAAACGTCAATTATTACCACGTCACGCAGTTTTCCTTTCACTTACTGTTCAGTGTTCTTCATATCTACCCCCAAATTACTAGGGTTAGGCCAGTTTTATCCAGAAAAATTTTTTTTGCACAGTTTTTACCTCAGAAATTGCCCAACCGAATCGGACGTCTGCCGTTTTCAGTAAAGCAGATTCTAAATCTCTCTATTAAATGCATAAGATTATAAGACTGCAGTAAACTTACATAGTCATGCGCAGAACGCGCAAATTGGCATTTCGTAGGGCCACTGCGGCGGAGACCAACAGTAACCGATGTAAATTAGATTTGTAAGTTTTGCGCATGATTGTTACACTCGTCTGTACTAAACGAATTAGACGAAAGAAGCGAAAAAGAATAAAAAAAGAACAAAATAAGAGAAAACAATTAAACTATGCCTTGAACAATCTCTAAATGAACATGCGGGCATTTTCTGTTAATTTTGTAAGTACAGTTATCTCATCTAGACAGTTGATGATCGTACACGATTATCCACAATATTTTAAAATAAAAGTCTTTATAATATTAAAAATATTGTCAATATATTTCTTTTCGAGTTGGGAGAAGTAGTTGTAACTTGCTTTCTTGTTGAATAGTGACTGGTAGGCCATTCCGAAACCCAGCACGAAACCCAATCTTTCGTAGCTCTCTGCTCCGCAGAGCTTCCCGCTGGATATTCCAGTAAAAATAGCAATAATAATAACGATGGGAGGAAGGAAAAAGCGGGAGCCTCTGCCATATTATGCTTTCAAGATGGCGCCGGATTTCCGAGGAAGACTGGAGATAAGTCACATTTGGCGGATATGGCTCTCTTTCTCTCTTCTTCCCTTCCCATCGTTCCCCGCGCGCCTTCATTTTTCCCTCTCCCCAGCCTCCCGACGACACAAAGAGGCCTCTGCGCGTGCAGAGGAGAGAACTTTCTTAGGCTATACTCAGCATAGGTGGTCTCCTCATGAAAAGACTATCGAGTAAGTAACCGATTCCATATTCTAGAAGACAACAGAGACGTCAGGCAGAGTTCACTGTTAGAGGTCCTGTTCGTGTCAGAACTAAAGGGACCTGATTTCGTTGAAAGGGAGTACTTCTCTTGTCCCTGTCCGCTGTGTTACCAGGAGCTGTGAGGACTAAACTGTCAACCAATCTTGGTCTTCTTGGAAACGGGCTCGTTGCTTTTCCCAGCACTCACGCACTAATCACAAAATACAGAAAATATTTCAATACAAATCATAACCGCCATCTATGGTCCAATGGTGAGAGAAGTAAAACAGAGAATTTCAATGTTACTTTCACCCTCCAATTTCTTTTTGTTAGCAACTTCAATTAATAAGTGCTATCGTTCAAATAAAGGCACCCGATCAGACTTTGTCGTGGTACTGTTAAAGAGGCGGTGTCACGGCTGCCCAGTTCATAGGGCTAATATTACCAATGACGCGTTTTTATTCATTAACGAGGAATTTACTCGTAAATGATAGAATCACAACTTCGTATAAAACAAATATCTCTCCCGAAGCATTACGTCAAACGTTACAAACAACAAAAGTGAACTTTGAAAAACTGTTAGGAGAACAAGTTTTCAAAAACCGCAATGGCAATCCGTTCTAATCTTTTCGAGTGGATCAATTTCGGTTTCTGGGAAACTGTCCACCTGACTCATAACTACATCACGCAGTCACATTAACGCATATCAGAGATGCAACCATCCAACCACCAAGTGAGTCTTTTTTAGAATTAGAACAACATGATACGTGTTTGCATCTCATTTCACCCTTGCTCGCCATCAAGTCTACAGTAGCTCAATGGTTAGAGCATCCGAGTGGATCATGGAGGGTTGTGGGTTCGAATCCCATCTGAGCCTCGGATTTTTTTCTGAGCTTCCATTTGATGCAAAAGCGTATCATGTTGTCGTACTTCTACAAAAAGACTCGCTTTTAATATTTGAACAGTTATTTTCATGTTTCACTTGATTTGGTGGCAGTTTCCACCGTTTAAATTATGATAAATTCCGTGACACCTCTAATTAATTGAGCCACCTCCTTTAATTGAGCTGTGAAAGGTGGCTTTTTAAAATGCAGTACCTTTTTAGAGATGATACTGAAGGACAAGAACTTATTTTCCGTCGACGACTTATCCACATTGATTTTCACAACTACTCGATCAAACAGGCGATAAGTGACTTCACCAACTGTAAGTGATGGCTCCTTTGAACAAAAAGGCAGTAATATTAACAAAACAAAACAAAACAAAACAAAACCTCAGCAACATTAAAAGAAGCAACAAGAGCACTACACCATATAGTGCACAACTCTTGAGCTGCCTCCTCCTTAGGCTTTTTAAGGAGCACAGATTTTAAAAGCGGGGTGCTAGAGATGAGCCAGAGACGCGGCTGACCGAGGGATGACGGAAACGAAAGCAGAGCGCGAGCTGGGAGTCAGTGATGGGAAGGTAAAAGAGATGAAGGGCGATGCCGCTTTCGCTTTGTTTCCCCTTATCACCCTCTTCGGTCCCGCTTTCCCTTGTGATTAGAGAGCTTTAGATTCGAGGACGAGGACAATAAGGACGACGACATTTAATTTTAAAATTTCTCGCCTTTTCTCTAAAAATACACACCCTGGAAAGCTTCATTGTACTTTTTTTCACAACAAAGGTTAGCACACTTATTTCCGTTGAAGGAAGTGAAGCTCGCTCCCGATCGCTAAATGATAAAATTTTTAACATCTGATAACTTGTTTTCGCCACTACGACATTTTTGCTAAAACTCGTAGTAGAATGACGATGGCTACCACATTTTCCCGCCAAAATGACGGTGGTTCGCGCGCGCGACCACTTAGTATTGAGAAAATCTCGTTCTCGTTGACGTCCTCGTCTTAGAATCTAAAGCTCTCTATGTGGTGAAATAATGAAAGATGGTAAACTTTTAAGCTCGGTGAAAAAATGTGAAAATGAATTAATCATCATGTCACGAGCGTGGGACAAAAAAAAAAAATCTGAGTCCCCGACAGGATTCGAACCTATGATCTCACAAAACACTGGGCGAGCGCTCTATCCACTTGAGCTACGGAAGAATTCATGGAGAGCGAGGCCATATACTAAAGCTCTCTATTAACTCAAATATCGATCCCTAAAATAAGCAATCGGGAGAGACGGGGGGACAAGGGACACTATTAAGTACCATTTTCCGGGCGCTGTCGCTGAGTCCGAAATTTCGCCAACATTCCTTAATTGGTAGATCTAATTCAGCGTTTTATGAAATCAGTCTTCGCCGGCGTAAAAAACCTTTTCTTGGAATCCTGGTTTATCTTACTTTCATTTCTATTACTTGCAGTTCCAAAGGATTTGTAGAGTTTCTCACTCCTCAGCTATTACAATTCACATTAAATTCCTTAACTCTAGTTTGAACCCATGGAAACGAAACAAAACAAAACAAACAACCAGACAAAAAATTAACAAAAAAAAAAAAGAAAAAAACAGACAACAACCGAAAAACCAAAAAAATACCATACACACCACTTTTGTGGTGGTTTGGAAAGACCTTTCCGAAAAATAACACAATTCCTTTTCAAATAGAAGATTAGGGTGTTGTATCATGTAAGCGTGACAGTTATCTCTTCCTACCCAGAACAGAGGAATTAAATACCTCTTCGTTGAAGACAAATCCTGAGCCATGTTTGTCCATAAAAACGGTTCCCTCCAGGCCATACTTTGGAATCAAAACTTGAAGAGCATTCTTCCGAACGAACAACACGAACGCCTCCTCTTCTGTTATGGCTTTATTTTGGAAAAACAGCTGCGAAGAATACAAATCAAGAATAGGAAGGCTAAATAAAAGCTGTTCAAAGAAAACTCATTAGTTGACAGACGAGAAATATAAAATGAACAGAAAGATGAAAGAAAACTCACGTTAATGAGATAAATCGGTTTGGGGCTGGAATAAGTCCCTTAGTGCTGATTTCAAACTCAAAACAGATGGTGACGTTAGCTTTGACCAGGTAGACGTTTATTGGTTTTATAATGTCAAACGCATTGACCGTGAAAACAGTAAACTTGTTGATACTCTACAAACCTGTTCATGAAGTTGCAAGAGCTGCTCGGGTTTAAGCAATTTAAATACCTTTTT